CCTCAAAAAAAGAAAGAAGAAAAAAAAAAATCAGTGCTGTTGTCAGAAAGCCCACATGATGGTCAGCTGTGAACAAGCTACAATGTTTGCCAATCAGGCGTCGTCTTGGCAGCTGCAAAATCTTTGTGCACTTGCCACTGAATCTATCCTTCTCAGTCACTGATCGCTTGGCCTGAACTAACTTTGGATCATTACAGACTGACCCTAGACAAGTGCTTCCCAAACATACTTGCATTATGACCTCATTTCACACCTTGAAAATTGGTGAGACTCTCAGGCCTAGGAACACGGCTGCCGCAATTTTGTAGCAACTACACTACAGTCATTAGTACCACAGGATCGAGACCTCACTTGGGATCCCAAGTGCTATTCTAGTAAAGCCCTGCCCTTCACTTTGATGTCAAACGTTGCTTTCACAACACCCACACCATCTGTACCCAACCCATCCACAGGCAAACACTTCCAAACCCTCCAAAAGCTTCCTCCAAAGCTTGCCATTCTTCCACTAGCCCAGCTTGTCTAAAACTCAGTCACTCACTCACAGCACTGAGTCCAAACCTCCTGTCCTGACCCAACAGACATATTGCTCACCTCATGTACAAAACATAAGCTCCTGTTATTAAACCTTGGGTTAAGCCAAACAGAAGACAAAAAAACCACTTGTCAGCTGCAAGAATGCAATTATTCAAGAACTTCATTTTGCAAGAACCTTCTGCAATGGAAAACCACTGTGGTTGGTACTATCACATTTATCATCTTGTTTAATATCAAACTTCCCAGATGGACAGGTAGATAAAAAGTTTTAAATCAAAATCATAGATTTTTAACAGGTTAGAAGGAGACTATTTGACCCATCAGGTCAGTACCGGTTCCCGAAACAGCTACCCAGGTAGTCCCACTCTTCAGCCCTATCTACATAACCCTCTAGACTAATCACTTGCAGATATATACCCAGTTCTCTCTTGAAACCTCCCAATGGAATCTGCCTCAACCACTCTTCCAGGCAGTACATTTCAAATCCTAACAACTTCGAGTAAAGACATTCCTCCTCAGCTCACTCCTAGCTCTCTTGCTGAGAGTCTAGAGAATGCAACCACCCCCTTAGTTACTGACTTCCCAACCAGCAGAAACAGAATACCTTTCTTTACCCTGTCAAAGTTGTTCAAAATTTTGAACATCTCAATATAATCACCTCAATCTTTTCTGCTCCAAGGAGAAAAAGCCCAATCGCTCATCTTTCCATGCATCATTCCAGCAAATCTTCTTTGCACTTCCTCCAGGGCTCCAACATCCTTCATGAAGGAAGGTGCCCAGAACTGAACACAACATCCCAATGTATTCCGAAAGGGGTGGCATGGTGGCACGGTGGTACAGTGGTTAGCACTGCTGCCTCACAGCACAAGGGAGCCGGGTTTGATTCCAACCTCAGGCAACTGTGTGTGTTAAGTTTGCACATTCTCCCCATGTCTGTGTGGGTTTCCTCCAGATGCTCCAGTTTCCTCCTGCAGCCCAAAGATGTGCAGGTCAGGTGGACTGGCCATGCTAAATTGCCAATAGTGTCCAAGAATGTGTAGACTATTACAGACAGAAGGTCATCGACTCTCACCCACTCTAAGGCTTGAGCATCTGACTCAGACTAACACTTGAGTACTATGGGCCATAGGAAATACAGGGACAGGGCAGGAGTGGTGGATCTGGGTGAGATGCTCTTTGGAAAGACGGTGTGGACTCAGCAGGCTAGATGGCCTGTTTCCACACTATAGGGATTCTATGATTCAATGTGGTCTGGCCAACGATTTGTAGAGGTGTATCCTCACTTTCTTGCTACTATACTCCATATCTCTATTTATAAACCCAAGAATCTTTTAAGCCTTCTTAAAATCTGTTTCAACTTGCCTAGCCAACTTCAGAGAATTACGTACATGAACTCCGAGGTTCCTCTGCTTCTGTATTCCCCTCAAAAGTTGTACTATGGACCCTCTGCTGTCTGTGTTTCCTCTACAAAAATTTATTACCTCACACTTCCCCGAATGGAAAATTCATCTGCCAGGTGTCTGCCCATTTGGTCAACTTGTTAATGTCCGTCTGAAGTTGCTCAGCTCTCATCCCCACAATTTGTGTGGCACTGTACCACATTTTTTTTTTTTTTTTTTAAATAGTTCTTACTCAACTTTTTAAACAGGACTTAAAAATTAATAACCCGAGAACTGTTGCAAGCAAAATATAGGGAAATATCAGAATATTAAAATAAGTGGCTTTTTCCTCCCCTTCCGCAAACATTTTCGGTTGTTTTACTTTCCATCCAGTAACTGTAACTAACAACGATTTTACTCGCAGACGAGATTCAGCCAATCAGGAAATGAAGAACTGAATTCCTTTGCAAATTCACACAGGGTTGGTGCGAAACAACAAGTTGCAAACAGGTAGTCATCTTTCAGAACATTACCAGGTTATATTCAACCAGAGCTGGCAGCCTTATGAAAAGGAGAGCTGGCAGCTTTATGAAAGGTGCCACAAAAATTAGTTGAACAACCAATTAAGTTGGCAGCACACTGATTCATGAAGGAATATTAGCCAGGAAACTCGAATTTTCTGTTCAAAAATATGAATATTGAGTATGATTCATTAACAGACAGAACATCAGCTTAACATCTCACCTAAAGCACTACAACATCTCACCTAATATGACACCCATAGTACTCAAGTGTTAGTCCGAGTCAGATGCTCAAGCCCTAGAGTGGGTGAGAATCGATGACCTTCTGTCTCTAATAACCCACCACTATAAAGCCCTTCCTAACCCAGCTTGGACAACACTCAGTCGCTTGAGGATAGGTCAGAGAAGGTGTGACCACCTGCTCCACCAGTGGAAACAGCTCAACCAGAGGCTGTTGTCAACCAGGTCAGCCCATCACCCACATACCGAAGTCCTGTGCTGACATACCCACTCCTGGTGGCAGCAGCAGTGATTGGAGTACAAATGTTGGGATGTCATATTGTGGCTGTACAGGACATTGGTGAGGCCACTTTTGGAATGCTGCGTTCAATTTTGGTCTCCCTGCTATTGGGAAGATACGGTTAAACTTTAAAAGGTACAGAAGATACCTACAAGGGTATTGCCAGGGTCAGAGGGTTTGAGCTATACAGAGAGACTGGACAGGCTGGGGCTATTTTCCCTGGAGCACAGACTGAGGGGTAACCTCAGAGGTTCAGAAGGTGGTCATGACAGGCTTGGATTGGGTGAATAGCCATGGAGTTTTAACCAGGGTAGGGGAGTTCAAAACTAGAGGGCATAGGAGTAAGGAGAGAGGGGAAAGATTTAAGAAAGAAACCTAAGGAACAACCTTTTCACCCAGAGGGTGGAGAGTGTATGGAATGAGCTACCAGAGGTAGAGGAAGAGGCTGGTACAATTACAACATTCACAAGGCATCTGGATAGGTACATGAATAGGAAGGGCATAGAGGGATATGGGCCAAATGGGACTAGATTAATTTAGGATATTTGGTCAGCATGGAGGAGTTGGACCAAAGGGTCTGTTTTTGTGCTGTATAGCTCTACGATTCAACAAATTCACTTTGCATTATCAGAATGCTCACCACTTTCAACATCATACTACAACTTCTTCCCTAGCCATAACAGTATTTCCTTCCCACAAAAAGTACACCACTATCTTCAACAGTCAGATTTTTCTGATGAAGGGTCTAGGCCCGAAACATCAGCTTTCCTGTTCCTCGGCCTGCTGTGCTCATCCAGCTCTACACCTTGTTATCTCAGTGCTCATCAAATGATGAGCCAGGTCACTACCTGCAATTGCCACAACCCAAAAACAACAGGTCATGTCACACCAACCTACTGCTCTCAAACAAGATATACCAAAACAGCAATTTACACTGTAGCAATTCAAAAGGCAAGTTAGACAGACAGATACAATAACGGCATTACCTCACTTTATCCTTAAAACAATTCTCTAAGCACAGCAACTCTTCAGAATTCTGAGTGCAAGAGATGTTTTCATCAGGGACTGTAACACTGAAAAACACTATTGCTTTGATCTAGCCTGCCTCATGTTTATCTCAAATCAAATAACACTGTCCATCAATAAACCATTTATTTCCCCAGAGAGGGTGACTTTAACTCCACATGAAGCACCACGCACACAGTGTAAGGAGTTAATGCCCCACTGTCAGGCAAATGCTAGTCCTCAGCTCCCCTTGTGCCATGACTAATGGCTTTGAACTGGTAGTTGAAAAATCAAGCAGCAGAGGAATCTCAACCATTTCCTCTGTAATCACGAGTTTAACATTTAAATGCCCAATAATTACACTGCTGGCTGCGGGAAAAGCAAACCAGTCCTAAAACAAAAAGGTGTAGCAGGCACCGCCTTCCAACATCCTCAATGAGAGAGAGAGAGAGAGGAAAGAAGAACCCAACTATTGGTGGAAGCACTTAATGAGTAAAACGGGCGAGAGTACTTGCTCTGTTTTTGTTTTAAAGAGCAATCTGGGGAGGAAGAGAGATTGAATGGAACCCAAGTCTGAGTGGAGATTCCTGTTCCGACTTTTTGCCCAACACACAGTTCTGTTTTACAACAAATTTAAAAGTCGGAATGTTTTGTTTTTCCAAGCAAAAAAAAAGCGTGCACGTCTGGCTGTTATACGTGGCAGACAAGATACTGATAACCGGCGCCTTAAACACAAGCAAACTTTCGACTTTACTGAGCAAACTACACTCAAAACTCTTCCAGAGTATTGTGGAAGTTGGGGGGTGGGGTGGGGGAAAGCGTCTGGCATTTCCCGGGTAGGTTGAAATTAAGGAGCTACTTCTCCTCAGACTTGGCTGGATCCCAGTGGGTTGTTGGCTAGGTCCCTTTTGGGAGCTCAAACCCCCCCCCCCCCCCCCCCGACAGCATCCCAAATACACACACAGTCTGTCTCCCTCAGCGCAGCAGAAGGGCAGACCCCCTCCCCCCCAATCACTGGTTACAAAGAAAGACTCTACTTACAGACCTGAGAGGCAGTTCCCTGTATTTGAGCCGTGCCAGGCAGCAGTGTTAGAGCTACAGACACAGCACAGCGCAGCGCCCAGAGCCCACCTCTCCCCAGGGCGAGTGCTAGGGCAGGCAGGGAGGGTGCGGGCGGGGGAATAAGACCAGCCCCGCCCCGGTTCCTCCACAGCCATTGGTCAGCTCCCAGCCTCGCACCGCCTCCTCCATGCAAGAGTCAGGCTCTGACTGGTCGCCGGGCTGTCCGTCACAGCGCTGAGCCCAATTCCCTCCACCCCACCATGGGGCACATGGATGGGTTTGGGGGTAGAGGGGTGTCAGGTCGGGTGGGGAGGGGGTAGAGAGGGGCAAGTGGGTTTAGGGGGTGTTAAGTGAGTGTGGGGGTTTGTCAGTGGGTGCGGGGTAGAGAGGCCAAGTGGGGGTGTCAAGTGGGTGTGGGGCAGAGAGGGGGCAAGTGGGGGTGTCAAGTGGGTGTGGGGCAGAGAGGGCAAGTGGAGGTGGGGGCTGTCAAGTGGGTGTGGGGCAGAGAGGGTAAGTGGGGGCATCAAGTGGGTGTGGGGGAGAGAGGGTAAGTGGGGTGTCAAGTGGGTGTGGGGGTGTCAAGTGGGTGTGGGGCAGAGAGGGGGCAAGTGGATGTGGGAGAGGGTGCAAGTGGGGGAGAAGGATCAAGTGGGGCTGGGACAGAGGTAGATCAAGTGGGGCAGAGGGGGCAAGTGGGGGTGTGGGTGTCAAGTGGGTGTGGGCAGAGAAAGGGCAAGTGGAAGTGGGTGTTCTAGTGAGTGTGGGACAGAGGGCACATGGGGATTGAGAGAGAGAGGGGGCATGTGAGGGAGGTGGGGCAAGTGGGGGAGAGGGGAACAAGTGGGTCTAGCGCAGAGAGGAGGCATTTGGGGGTGGGCAAGATGGGATGGGAGAGGTGGGGCAAGTGGGGGTGGGGGAGCAAGTGTGGGGGAATGGTAGTGGGGGTGGGGGAGAGAGAGGGCAAGTGGAGTGAGGGCCCAAGTTTGAAGTTGGGGTTGATGGATAAGTGGGGAGCAAGGCGAGGTGTCAGTGAGGAGGTCAGTAAGGGATCCAATGAGAGAGGTAGGACAGGTTAGGGGAAACAGGAGCTAATGGGGGATGAGGGTCAGTAGGAGGAGAGAGGGGGCAGGTGGAACAGAAAGCTTGGGACGGGCAGTTTTGGGCAGAGAGAGGGCCAGTTAAAGGGGGTGGGTTGGGTGTGAGAGAGAGAGAGACAGAGAAAGGGTAGGTTTAGGGGAGAGTGGGCCACAGGTTGAGAGAGGTAGAGAGGGAGGGCAGATTGGGTTTGTGAGAGATAGAAGGCAGATTAGGGGTGAGTGGAGTTAGAAGGCATGTTAGGGGTGGGGGCAGAGATGGGCAAGTTGGGTGAGAGAGGGGCAGGTTGTGTTGGGCAGTAGATTAAAGGGAGAAGAACAGGTTGGGGAGGTGTGTGTGAGGGCAGGCTGGTGAGGGGGCTGGTTAAATTGGAGTGGGTGTGATGACCAAATGTGGGGATGGTAAACCCACTGTGGAGCTCACCTTCTCTGTCTCGGGCTTGCTGCAGTGCTCCAGCAAAGCCCTGCGCAAAGTGGAAGAACAGCACCTCATTTTCCACTTGGGGACCCTACAGCCTTCTGGACTTAATATCGAGTTCAACAACTTTAGGGCTTGAGCACTCCCATGACCTTATCCTAAGCCCCTGCACCCCAGACCTTGTCATCACAAAGGCTGCTTTCGTCGCAGCCACCCCATTTCACCCACTAATGGTCCATATTAGCAGCTTTTCTTTTTCTCAGAATCAACATTATCCATTCCTTTGTCTGTCCAACTGCAGTTCTCTCTCTCTGGGCTCTATCTCCACCTATTGTGTACTCCTTCTCTGCAACTTCCCTCTGCCCCAGCCCTCCATCTTCAACATATATATCACCTTTTCTGAGTTACAATCTGTTCTGAAGAAGAGCCACTGGACCCGATACATTAACACCAATTTCTCTCCAAAGATGCTGCCAGACCTGCGGCGTTTCTCAAGCAATTTCTGTTTTTGCTTCTGATTTCCAACATCTGCAGTTCTTTATGTTTTGTTGAGGTCAAACAAAAGTGCCCACTTTTTAGAAGTGGCACATTAAATGGTTATAAACATATAAATTGGGAGAAGGAATAGGCCATTTTTGTGTTTATGTTCTGAAATCCACATTACCATTTACCCAATAACCTCTGAACCCCCTCCCTACTAAGAATCTACCTACTTGCATCTTAAAACTATTCAAATAACTCACCTCCATCACTTCCTGAGGAAGAGTTGCAAAGTCATGCAACTCTGAGAAAACAAAATCTGCCTCATTTAGGAAATAAAAACCGAAAGAACTGCAGATGTTGTAAATCAGAAACAAAAACTGAACTTGCTGGAGGAACTTAACAGGTCTGGCAACATCTGAGGAGAGAAATCAGAGTTAATGTTTTGGGTCCAGTGATCCACCCTCAGAAGGGCTCTGAGGAACAGGTCTGAAGAGGAGTCACTCGACCCAAAATGTTAACTCTGGTTTCTCTCCGCAGATGCTGCCAGACCTGCTTCTTCAGCAATTTCTGTTTTTGCCCCTCATTTAGGTCCTGAAAAGGGCGACCCCCAAATTTAAAACAGTATTCCCTCATTACGGACTCACAAGGGGTAAACATTCTTGGATGCAGAGTCCCCAAGCAGAAAATGAGATGCTGATCTTCTACATGGTCAAGAGCACTCAGGATCTTATAAAGAACAATCTAAAGTTAGCTGTCATTCTTCTAAACTCCAGTAGAAAGAAAGACTACCTGCCCAACCTCTTTCCATAAAATAACTTGCTCATTTGGGTATAAATTAATAAAACTCCTTTGAACTGCCTTCAATGCATTTACATCCTTGAATGAGGAGACAAAAACTGCACGCAGTATTCGAGATATGGTCTCAATAATAATCTGTATAACGGAAGCATATTATCCTTACTTTTATCTTCAATTCCTCTTATAATAAAGGTTGGCATTCCATTAGCCACAAGTCATGAAATAAAACTTGACAACTGAAATAATAAAGTTTCCATCCTTACGCTCTCGCGTTGTTATGCCCAGCAGTCATGGAAGGCTTCAGCACATTAACGTTCCCCCCAGCTCGCCCCACAATCCTCTTCCCCAAGGCTCCCCAGGCACATAGAATGCCAGGGACAAGAAACAGATAAACTCCCTATTTTCACTTTCTTTGAAATTTTTGGAGCTCTTCAGAGTTTTATCCAGAAACCATTGTTTCTCTTACTTCTTTCAAATTCTGTTGTGGACATCAGTAACACCTTGTATTAAGATCTCACCCAACCCTCCAAATGGTAAAGGAAATGCCTTGATCTTAATGAACTTGTTGGAAGTGTCAGGCAGCTCTTGCAATTTATCAATCCTTGTTCCCACAGGAAGGAAAGGGATGAGGAAGAACAGTTCGATCTTTTAATTCAGTCATCCTGGAGTAATTCAGTTTCCCACAACAATGAATTAAAAGAGTCTCGGAATTGTTCCACTACTGTGGTACCTTGATAATAGATACATAAATAGGGGCAGGATTCGGCACCTTCAATCAGCTTCGCTATGCATTATGATCATGGCTTATGTGATTGTGCCCTGAATTCCACTTTCCAGCGTGTCCTTAACTTCCATGTTCATCAAAGATCTGTCCACCTCAGTTTTGAATAAATTTGAATGACCCAGCTTGCACTGTTCACTGGGAAAGCTACAATGTTAGCGCATATCCAGCAATGTGGAAAATGACCCAGGCATAAACTGTCCACATAAAGAAAGGTAAATCTAACCCAGACAATTTCCATCCCCATCAGCCTACTTTCAATCATCAGGCAAATGATGGAAGAGGTTGTCAACGGTGTACTCAAATGGCATTTGCTCAGTAGTAACCTGCTCATTGATGATCAGTTTGAGTTCCACCAGAGCCAGTCAGCCCCTAAACTCATAGGAACATAGAATATAAGAGCAGGAGTAGGCCACGCGACTCATTAACTCTGCTTTGCCATTCAATATGATGATGTCTGGTCATTTAACCCAGTACCATTTTTCTTGCTTTCTCTGGTATCCTTTGATCCCTTTAGTTCTAAGAACAATATCTAATTCTTTTTCTTGCAACATTCAGTGCTTTGTACTCACTATTTTCGGTGGCAGAGAATTCCTCAGGCTCGCTATTCTCTAGGTGAAGAAAGTTTTCCTTGTCTCAGTTCAAAATGGCCTATCCTGGATGATTAAACTGTGACCCTTCGTTCTGGACTGCCCAGTAAACACGAATATCTTCTTTGTGTTTATCTTTTCAATCCTGTTAGAGTTCTAAAGGAGTCAATGAGATCCCCCATCATTCTTCTAAGCTTCAATGAGTAGTCCTAACTGATCAAGTCTCTATTCACGTGTCATTCTTGCCACCCCAGGAATCAGTCTGTTAAACCTTTGTTGCACTTCCTCCGTAATCAGAACATCCTTCTCCAGATAACTGAGTACAATACACCATGCGTGGTCTTATCAAAGCCCTAATTTAACTGCAGCAAGATATCCCTGCTCTTGTACTTGAATCCTCTCGCAATGAAGGCCAATATACCATTTATCTTCTTCACCATGTGCTGCATTTTCTGTTCATTTGCCCTCACCTAACATAGCCAAATCACAGTGAAACATCTCTGCATACCCCTTATAGTTCATCCTTCCACGAGCTCTGTGTTGCCTGCAAACTTAGAGATACTAGATTTAGTTGCCTCATAAATGAAATAACTCCACACAGAGCAGTATCCCGTCACCAAATCCCCTTTTATTTATACGTAGAGAATCCTGGATACTGATTGAGCTCCCTCAGAGCCAGCTCACAGAGAGAAGAGAACCTCTGACAATCTTGTTCTTATCTGTCAGCCAGGGCTCCCTGATTGGACCGGATTGATAGCCTCAATCAGGGAACTCATATTCTATGAGGTCCACCTGACTGACCTCATTGCAATCATTATATCCCTCTCCCTCTGAGTTCGAGGACATAGGCTGGTTCTTTTCTTAGTAGTTCCTTCTGAGGCATTTTAGCACTGGGCCAGGTTCCTCCCTTTCTGCCTCTGATATGAGCAGTGAGTAACA